ATAATAAAATATTAGTAAGTTGTCTGTCACACGAGTTCTGAACAACGACTAAAGACAATGAGTAAATTCAAATCGTATTGAAGAAAATAATAATAATAATATGATACTCGTTGATCATTGTGCGCACCTATACATACATATTATTATATACGCATAGTCTGATAATTTATAATTATTTCTAGTCCGATCGTCGAAAACATAAATTACATTATATTGGTAAACGACCGTGACAGTGGCGAACCGTGGAACTTGTTGGACCTAGAGCCTATCGACGGTGGAAACCACCCCTTTTAACTTTAAACATATATAGAAATTAAATTATAGTCGTCAATGTATTGTTTAAGTAGAATAAAGTCAAGGTCTAATGTTAGAGACTAATATAAATATTTTAAATAATACTATATTAGTAATGTGTACTTAAAATTTAACTCTTTGAGCTTAAAATTTGTGAAAACTTAAGATTAATTTTATCATTATTCAAGGATGAAATTCATCAGTTCTTCCAACTTGGACAAACCTTTGATATCACCGGACCGTGATGCCGTTGACAAATCTTCTCGCATCGCTAGACACGCTTACATAATATTATTATACGTGTACAATGTATATCCGATACCGTTCCCGTGCAAAGTTTAGGTAATGGTATGATATCTTACATTTATAAAGTCACGTGCATGAAATATAAAAAGGTCGGATCGAATTTCCTTGTAATGCAAAGTTAATACCTACCATATTATTACGATGTTTCCTTGTCGTATCCGTATATAGTCCAAAATAATATTTTTGTTTTGCATATTTTGTTTTTTTGTACAACTTATTCCTATATATAATATTGTGTATTATTAAAACATCTTATACCTATATTTTTGTACACATTTTAACCAGGACACGTGTCTGTCTTAAAACTTTGAGACACTACGGTAACGATATCGTGCAGCGTAATCCAATTTAAATCTGAGGCCACGGATAGCATTGTTTCATTCAAAATAAGATGCGTAATAACCTGTAATTTATACATTGATTGTCGTCCAACTAGAAAATTACTGCACGAAATGTCATATTATCATTGTTATACGGCACTACTACCTATTATAACGTGTGTATAATAGATAACTATTATTAAATTATATAGTGCTAAAGTGCTACTTCATTGTAAAATATTACATTATTATATGAAATGTATCTACAATGTTTATATAGATTATGTGTATAATACTGCAATATTATTACGATTCAACAAGGGTTACTTAAATATGGTATACTGACATTGATGATCGATTGTTGTTTTCGTTGGGTCAGCCTAAAACGGTTGACATTTGGTATAATTACGTGACGAAACATGTGGTATGATTCGTGCTTTCGTCTTATAATGGTATCAAAATCATTGAAGTGTTTTAACACAGAAATCAAAAATCCAAACTAACTTTTAGGTACCCATAACTGTTACATTTTGTGTTAATATGGGTTAGCACTTAGCATAGTTCTGAAGTAAGATTAAGTAAAAAAAAACTTGATTTGAAAACTATGTAGGTAAATCATTTTTTTGATTATAACATATTCGTTAGAATATTATTTAATTCCATAAATATTAGCTACTGATAGACAATAGGTACTAGCAAATCAATGAATGAATAAAGTGAAGCATAATCTATAAATATTAAAATGTGTTGGTAACGAGAAATATATTGGTGAGGTGTGAAATAACTGATATCAACGATTTTTTGAAAAATTATTTCTGTTAATAATTATTATCAAGCAACTAATTAAAAAAACAATACATACAAGATTATCACTAGAAATTTGTAAAATTAAAAATTATTCAGTTTTTGGTTGATTTAGGTGTTTTAAAAACGATCATTAAGTCAGTATATGGATTTGGAGGTTTTGGATTTTTAAAGGGTTTTTAGAAGTGTTACGGATTCCTGTTAATTCGGGTACCTAACCTGTGAGAAAGGGATTAAAGAGACAATTTTCGCTAGGGGTTTTCAGAAAAACAATATTTGTTTAAAATATTGCTAAGCAAAAGTTGCAAACATTTTGGGAAATAGCCTACAGGCTTAATCGTAACTTCAAAACTTTGACATTGAAGACATTATACGGAAATAAAATAATAGTCGAAAAAAAATGTGGTTATTACACATTACAGCTACTTATGCATTTTGAAAAAGAGTTAGTTTGTCTGAAAGTATTGAAATCTGAAATAGTGAAACTCTTGTTTCACGGTGTTGTAAGTAAATACATTATACAATGCACCTTGATAATACAAGGCATTACAATTTTGCTCAAACAAACGTTTTGTAATGAATAGAAGTGATATAATTTTGTTCACTCTTATGTTTATTTTCCAAGTTCACGTACATTTCAAAAAATAATCTCCTAGTAAATACATTTTAAAATCTTATTTTCAAAATTGTCCATCGTCAGAGCGCAGTTTCCTTGGAAACGGCGTCTATAAAGATTTTTGAACTTTGTAGTATCGATTAATACAGACTATGAGAACGATGAACTTTTTTATAAAAAACATCAAAGGAAAAGCGATTATTTAAATAATAATATATGAACACGATACTCATTGTTAGGTAACTGAAATATTCATACTTAATTCAACGTGTCTGCATAAAAAGCTTAATATTTTAATGGAAGTAGATATTTCGACTTTATAAGTCTAAAACGCCAGGTGATTATTGATTTTATGGATAGCTTTGTAGTTATATATTTTAAGTACACTAGTATACATTTTATAATTTAAAATAACACAATGGAAGTACTTACATTTTTAATTATTTTTTTTTGTTGTTGATGCTGATGCGATGTTTAATGTGATCGACCGATTAACCTACAGTACCTAATGTAAATTCCATACAAATATTTGTTACATTTAAAAAATCAAACACATTTCAATTAAAAAAAAAACTCAGTACAAAAACAATTCATCATGGTACTATGAATATAAATAACGTGCTTAAAAATAACTTTAATGAAAATGGAAATAAATTGCATTTACTTTAGTTATGCAGTGCGCAAGCGATTGAACGTAAAATATTAGATACTAGACATTTTACTGTAACCCAATTATAATTAACGAAAATTCAATTTCGAAATGTAAATATTTCAAAAAAATGTAAGTACACCAATGTTTAATTAAAAATAAAAAAACAGTTTTTTCTTATTTGTCAAACCATAATATTCATTATACGTGTAAACAACTAGTGACAGGATATTTTATTTCAAAGTGCAAACCTGTGTTTTGGCAGTGTTATAAGTTTATAACACAAAAAACTTCCACAAAATTTTATATTTAATTATAATATTTTATGAATGATGTATTAAATAATACTCACACTTATTATTGTATCCAACTGTTAACGAATATTTCGTACTTTCGAAATATCTACCCGTTTATTGCCAGAACATAGACTCCCAAATTTGCATTGGGCTAACAAAATGTCTATTATGAAATGTACGAACTAAATTTACACATTCATATTCTTTTATATGTATGTATTTGTTCACTGGCACAAACAATATCAGAATATATCAAAAATAAATTGTACTTAATAAAGTGATCACGGTGGTTACCTGCAATAGGTACGGAATTATATTTTTCTAATATATATTTTGATATATAGTTAATAATCTATTACTACTGATACATCCAACCGTCGAGCATAGGTAGAATAAGGGTGTAGCTTACTCATTGTGGTTTCAACAAAGTCAAGAGAAACCGAAATCGAGTATAAACTTTGATAATATCCTCGGTGATGAACTGTTTCATGGTGAACATAAGGTCATACATCACGTGTTTAACTCAGTTGAAAAGAGTTCAACTAACTTCACTACGATGGGTTGGATATCCAATAGGTATATATCTACTCTGATATAGAACTATTTAGATTTGTGACACAAATTGTGTGGCTCTGTCAACTGAACTTTTTTGGGCGTTATCGATTATTGTCGTCTGATAACTGGCGAACGCCATCGTGGTGTTTCAGTCGCGTACTATACTACTATATCAAACGTTTTCGTTATATTTTCTAAGACTAGACAATTAAACTAGTCAAATTAAAGACTTTGTGGTTGCATGTAATTTACGTGAACTTTTAGATGGTGCGTTATGAATGTCTCCTATGTAATATAGCCCGGCAACCAAATCGAAGTGTTCAAACGTAATATATAAAAGACAAGTCCTCGACCAAAGTCGTATTATTGACATAACAGGCATTGTTACACTCACGCGGCTTGCGCACTAGAAAATTAAAATTTCTTATTTCTCATTTATAAATAATATTATTCATCGTACGTATTTTAGTTGCCATATAATATTGAAGTGAAACTTTTTTATGGAAGGTACAACGTTGAAAATGTGTAACGAAGTTATGCTCACAACATTTCCATGACAACGAAAAATAAATAAAATATTAATCATGTAAATCTGATTATTATCATTATTTTTTTCTATTCATCTATTTAATAATTAGCGAGGAATAATGAGAATAAGCGTCGTTTTAATATATACTCTGTAAGTTAGTTAAATGTACAACAATTATATAATAATCATGTATATAACAAGAATTATAATATCAAAACGACTGTAGGTCATCATAATATATTATCTTAATATAGTATGTTCAAAACACTTACTGGTACAACATCAGATAGTTGCAATAATAATTTGATTTTAACTTTAAAAAAAAAATAATGTATAAATTCAATTCGTAATGAAATGAGAGTATGTATAAAATAAATACAAAGAATCAAACAAATAAATAAATTTTTTGTACCACGAACATGAACCTAAAATCCCACTAATTCATTCAATAAGTCCTTCCTGCGAAATTGTCCATGTTCAGAAAAATACATAGGTAATATATCACTAAAAACTATAAAATAAGTTTCACTTAATACATGTACGGCTTACACACACACTAACGTTTTTTTTTATTAATCATCAATATCATTATTGTATTATTATCCTCATTTCGCCTGTCGTCTGTTCGCAGCTAGTCGAGAAGCGGCGTACATGTACGCTGTGATCAGTGCCGGCGTGACGTACGCATTGATGGACGCGTGCAGCAGGGGCAACATATCCATTTGCGGATGCGACGCGCACTACCCTAGTGCCCTGGAAGACGGACCGGCGGCGGCCGCTTGGAAATGGGGAGGGTGCAGTGTGGACTTGGGCTTCGGCATGGGGTTCGCCCGAAAGTTCCTGGACGCCCAGGAATCTGACGCTGGCGACTCCCGGAGTCTGATGAACTTGCACAACAACAAGGCCGGCAGAAAGGTATACAATAATAAAAATAATAATAATAACAACAATATTGTATTACACGGTAAAGGGCGATTTTATATCACAACATGATCACTTTAATTGGCTGTGACCTGTTTAAGAATTCCGACGTGGTTAACACAATATTAGAGTGCATGTTTTCGACCTGTTAGAAAAGTTTTTCGTACCGAAGTTTGTTTACGTACAACAATTTTGTTCATATGATTTGTGGTGATCTAAAATCGTATTAATAAGATGGTTTTTAGATTTTCAAAGACCGATTTTGACTACATTTTATACACCCGTACTATAACCTCACTGTAAAAATATAATTTTGTTTAAACTGTTTTTATGTTATCAAATATGATTTCTGCTACGAATATTTTAATAAATTATTAACATTAAGATATTTAAACAAATAAATAATTATCGGATTTCGAAAATTGATTTTTTGACAAAAATTTAAAATATAATAGTTTATCATTTTTTAAATTTTAAAGGAACCATTTTAAGCAAAAAGATGTTTGTCAAGAATATAATGATTATGGACACACGGCGTTCTGTTTAGGCTATTTAGGTACACCAATGTCGTGGATTAGTGTTTCTATTGTTTTATACAAGACAAACCTTATAAATACTGTTACGTGTCTTATTTTAATAAGTAATAAGTTATTATATCGTCAAAATGGAACTGAATATTAATTCGTAGGTTGCACTGAATTGAATAACCTTAATGTTAAAGGTACGACAACCTATAAAGAGTGACCCATCATGTAAAATTGTATACATGCACTTTTAGTACTATATTTCTATACAGGTGAGGTAAAATGTCAAATGATTCGATTATGAAGACATAAACAATAATAATAATAATAGTATTTTTCTTCAAAGTCAAGCTGGGTTGACACTAATTGAACTAGATGACAAGTTAACTTTGACCGTTCCCAGGTAACAAACTTTTTATAGCGCAAACTATAACAACTGCAGTATGTATACCTACTATATAGTATTATACGTACATACATATATTTATTAAAATTAATAATAAGTTAGTTTTGAATTGAACACCAGTTATGCTAAATAGATGATATTAAACCATACTTGTCTATGACGATTTCTACTTGCCAAAAATACCTACATTTATTTAAAAATTAATGTGATGACATAAACTTGACCCAAAATAATTAAATAATTCACCCAGATAAATCGCAGAGCTTTCCATTATGTATAATATAGCTTGTGGGAATAAAAGTTTGCCTAACGTAATTCGCAACCTATAATTAATTAGTATTTTAAGTACTATTAACTGAAACGTTTTAACCAACAAGTTCAACTTTTAAACGTTAAAATTAAATATTTTGTAGATATGTTGAGTTTTTTAAAATTATATAAAGTGTCGACGGATACCAAATCCAAAATAAACTTAACTGAGTTAAAATTATTTATTAACTTTCCCGGCCGCGTGTTGAGGCACATGCCAAGTCGCCAAGGTTATTTTACAAACGACGACGTTATTATTATTAACATTGTAATACTTACGCAAAGGTATAAGCCACGCACAAAACTCCATTGTTACAATGTACGCGCAAAGTGTGCCTATACATTATTATAATACCATAGTATAATAATATATAATATTATAGTATCTACGAACAATGTTTATAATACCATGCTATATTATTTAGTAATATATACTATTATAGTACTTACCTACTTACTTACTTATCTATCAGTTATAAATCTTCGTTTAAGTATGTACCAGGACATGGACAGGGACAACAGAAGTATTATTTTTGTAGGTAATACATTTTATTTGTGTTAATTTGACATGAGCAATCTATACAAATATTAGCACAATAAGTTTAAATGATAAGAGTAATAAATAACAACGCCTATTAATGATTCTTGGCTAGTTGATGAATCTTTAATTTTTAATTATTATTATGATAATTATTATTTTTGTACCTATATGTATATATAAATATTTAGAGGAGATAGATATTAAAGTTTTTCAAAAGGTCACGGCACCACTTCATTTTTAACCTGCTGTTAGGATTTCTTAAGAGTTCCAAGGATGCAAAGGTCTTTTAGAAGTGGGTAAGAACTTAGTATAGGTCTGGAGTTGTTGATGGAAGCATGTGTAGACAATATTATATGATTATGTGCTTAATATTCTAGAAATTCATTTTGAACAGTTAAATTAGAGATAAAGGTAAATAGATTTGATTGAGAAATAATTTCATTTAAGTAACAGGACTTTCAGCAACCGATTTCATAGACAACCGAAATTTATTTTTGAATTATTGGGATCTTCTTGTTATAACATTGCTAAAATATTTGATTATTTCAATAATTATATAGGTACCTACGTATTATAGAGGGTATCACGGAACAGTGAAATTCTTGTTCGTTTGAAAATCCAGTGTTACAGAATTATGGTTTGAACGATTGTATCATATATATATATATATATTATATAGGTTTAATACAAACAGATTACCCTGACAAAAAAAATGATATTGTTTTTATATTATAGAAATAATACATTTTTTTTAAAGAGTTAAATCAAAAACTCGTCATTTTTTAAAGAGTATTGTTTTTATTGAAACGTAAACCTTTTTTAATAGCCAGTTCATTTTTTAAATGGTGATGTATATAGATCGAAATTTAAACAGAGAGTTTCCGAGTTATTTAATTTTATAAACTAATAAAAACTGCTGTCCTTAATAATGATTTTACATAAATTATAAAATACATTTCATAATTATTTGTCTAGTAATTTTTATACTTGGACGATTTTTACAAATTATGAAATTCTGATAAATTTATATTAATATAGGTAAAATAATATACAAACCATCATAACCCTTATATTTTTGTATTCTTAGTGATTAGGACTATTCGTCCAAATTTTGTTTTATATATTTATTTATTAATTGTATTTTCTTTAAAATGTTGAAAAAGTAATCTTTTTAAAAATTTGAAGAAAAAAAAGGGTGATTCTCAGAAGAAAAGATAATTTAATTCCTTTTTTCCATAGTACTAAAATCTTTAAAGAATTCAAAAGTATAATTCTTTAGTACATTTAAAAATCCAAAAATCAGAATTTATAATAAATTAATTGCGAGGGCGAGGAAGCTTGGTGAATCACTTTGCAAATAATATATTTTTTAAGTACACACTGTTTACCTTTTATTTATTAAATTATTCGTATAACATTAATCAGTACTACTAAGTATTTTTAATAACTATACAAACTGTAGTTACTTCGTGTATTATTTAAATTAAAACATACCTACTATAATATTAAAACGAATTAAAAATAATTCTTGAAACTAAATATAAACAGTGTGGTTTGTATTTTTTTATAATTGAGTTTTAATTTTTACTTTGTAGTCATTTTATTAGAATTGCCAACATTTTGCAGCATAGAAATTTATTTTTAAAATGTATCTAATTTTTATTTTATTTATGGAAGCTTATTTCATGACCCATTAAATTTTTAATTATAAATTTTTAATATTAGTAAGAAGTATTGATGTTTCACAATAAATGCAATGTGCCGAGTTAAGAATTTTAAGGAATTTCTAGTCTGTAAATTCTTCTAGTATTTATCAACTTAAACCTAGTTTATTCATTGGTTATTTATATCATTATCTATGTCAAATAGTTTTATATGTCTCAGATTCACAATAAATAGTCACCTACTCTGGTAGGTTTTTATAAAAGTTAGGACTTAATATATTAAAAACATAATACTTTTTATACTTTTTAACACAATACTATATAATTTTATATTATTTTAATGAAACATTATAATTATAATTTATACTTTAATTGGACCTACTTAAAGTTATCAATCGTTTAATCGTATTAAAATAATAAATCCCGTCTATCTAGAGTGTGCCTATATATATGTACATATATATTCAAATGTTTACATGGACTCCTAGCTGACATATTGTTTGTTCGCAGATTGTCAAGATGCTATTGAACACTGACTGTAAGTGTCACGGGGTGTCAGGGAGTTGTACGATGAAGACGTGCTGGCACAGTTTGCCACACTTCCGGGAAGTCGGCAAGGCTCTAATGCGAAAGTACCGGAAGGCGCGCAGTGTCCAGGCCGCGGGGGCTGCGGCTGCTGTCGTCGGTGGTAATCCACAGAGGGCTTCTGGTAAACGGTCGTCAAGACGACTGAGGCTCAGGCTCAGGTCGGCCAGGTCAGCGGCGGCGGGGTCGGCGGACGAGGAGGAGCCAAAAATCACCGAGCTTGTCTACCTGGAACAGTCACCTAACTACTGCGACCGGGACTTTGGCACCGGGTCGTTGGGCACGTACGGCCGTTCCTGTAACCGGACTTCTGAGGGTGAGTCTAGGATAATGTAAAATAAAAGACAGTGCAGCTACTTTTTTTTCGTTGCTATTCGACAAAACGATTAGTAATGACACTATGACCTAAATATCTATACATAGTATATATTATAATTCATAAGCTATACGTATAGTATGTATACTTATTACTAATCTGTTACTGAGCCAATTGACGTTGGTGACGCACGGAGAGTTATCTCTATCAGTGGCAGAAATTTTTTTTAAGATATTGTAAATTGTATAACGTGTATACGTTGACAGAGATTTTTTCTGATTAACATATCGAAGCAACACTGAACGGTTACATAAGTGCCGAAATGTACAATATGGACAATATGGACATTATTTATTTATTTTTTTGAGATTCCTGTCGAGGAACAGAATAAAACGACTTTGTTGAATCTTCTGTATGTATACTATTGTATGTCATAACTCATTCTCATGTAACTTGATGCGATAAAGGCTATATACGTATAATGTCACTTTTCAGAGAAAATGTACGTTATTTAGAAAAAGCCATATTTTGTTTTAGTAGTTTTCTCTAGCAAGTAGAAATCTAAATGCAATATGTGACCAAATATTGATATCATAAAGATTATCCATTGTGGTATTTTCAACAAAAATTAATATATTTTGACATTGACCCTTATTCTCACACTTGTACTTACTATTATTTTATATAACACTGAGCTCAACCCGTCCGCAGCCATATAGATAATTATTATTATTGTTTTTGATTATTATATTATTTTTTACTTTGCGTGTATTTTAATCATCTTGTCCGAATTTCCATAGGCATGGACGGCTGTGACCTGTTGTGTTGTGGACGAGGGTACAACACTCACCAGTTCACCAGGACCAAACAGTGCCGGTGCACATTCTATTGGTGCTGTTACGTCAAGTGCGACACGTGCGTGGAACGGACCGAAGAATACAGTTGTAAATGACGTGCTCATATATTATTACGTAAATTATATAATATAACTTGTACTCGTTACGTTGTTTATAAGCTTATTATATTTTTTAGTATTTTACGAGTGTACCTATATAATTATTTATATGATATTTCAAAAATACCACGCACAATATTATTGTAATAATAATTTATATATTATACATAAATAGTTTTATATTTTATAAATAAAATTACCGTTCAAGTTGTGTACAATACTATAATATGAGCTTTATGGTTATTTGACTTTACGAGTCATATATTTTTCCTCTAACCTCTATTCCAGTGACCACCTGCAGCTTCTACGCAGTCAACACAACGAGGACTAAATATTCATTTATAGTAGGAACTACTTTAAAGCATCAAATTGTAGTTAATAAGCACTTCAATTTTCTCTCACCTAATAGTTCCATTCAATTCATTAATAAATTAACTCAAGTTCATTTTTTATATAACATTAGTTGCTTTTTCTCGCCTCAACAACTCTCATAAATGCACCCACTGTTCAATTAATTTTAATTTAAAAACAAATTACTCATGCAATAATAAGAAAATAAAAATGTTATACTAAAATTGGAATTAATTTGTTTATTACTTATAATTAATTAAGAAATTTTAATTATTTGTATTAATTATTATATTTATATTATTTATACATGAGAACCCTTTGCAGCCCACAAAGTGAATGTATAAAAAAATTCCATTTCAGCAACAAAATGTTTTTGTGTGACACAAACTTTGAACCAAAAGAAACTTCGAAATAATGTTTAAGTTTACCAAAAATGTGAACGAATTTCAGAATAAATTAATTCATCCAAAATATTATGAACTCAAATCATTTTCGTCTATTCAATTTGAACTCGTTCATTCCGAGGGCTGGTGAAATATTTGTTAATCCACCGACAATATATACACACGCCGCAACTACGGGTCAAGTGCAGGCTGTACTTGACAAGCGTCAAAGGACTCCACTCATCATAAGTCTTGCTATGAATTCGATTGAAAGTATTTAAATGTATTATAAATGTATTTTATACTGTTCTAAATTCTTTTTTGTATTATTTATTTTATGACATACATTTTTGCGAATATTATGAAACAAGTATATAAAAAAATAACTATTTGTTCGATTTTAATTTACATATAGATTACATATTATCAACTGACTAAAAAAATAATGTACCTATACTCTTGCTACTCTTAATATTTATTTAAATTAACAATTTTTTTTTTGATTTTCTATTTGATTTTACAACGTGTGTGTGTCTGTATATATTTAGTTTCAACTTCAGTATCTTTTCTGATTGGAAAATGAATCTATTTAGAAAATAGTCAAAATAGAAAATTCCAGAGAGTTTTGGGACAAATACTCTTGAAAAAACAAAAAAGTAAAATTAAGAAAAAACTGGGATTTTTAGGCAAGACTGGTTTTTGATAAAATTGATTTAGACTTTTTGTTGTAACTAAAACATAATGTCCTTAGATACATTATATTTTTACAGGATATTTGTATTACCATTTTCTATGCATCATTGCTTATTTAAAGTTATTTTCAGGCACAAGACAATTTAGATTTTTATAATTTTTTTTTAAAATGATTACCATTTTTTTTTCTGCATTAAAATACTTGAAAATTGAATCTATGGTCCATCGTAAGTCTTTACTCCTTCAAGTTAAATGAACCATTAAGTACCATGATTATAAATATACACAGACATACTGCGGCTGATCATACAATGTCCAAGTAAAATCATTAAAACCACCAGTGGAACAAAGAGTTTTAAATACCTACTCAATACATTTTGTTGTCCTTGTTATCGAGAACCGAGGGAGGAACTGGTGTTGGCATTGCTTCGTCGTTTATTGTGTAAAAAAAAACAAACGTAATTATTACAACAACCTACTCATACCTATATAAAACACTTTGTCTAAACTATAATACCAAATATTCTTCTTTTGCTTCAATATATTTAATCATGTTTTTGTGTTTTTCCCCTGTTAAAGTTCAATAGTGTAGAGTTATATAAGAGTGCAATAAATTAGGGCGAAAGTCCTCTATATTCTACACCCTGAGTAACACATAAATATGCCACTGCTTTTAAGTAAGTTGTATGTAAGTGATGTATAATGTGTGCAATATTATCGCCATTTTGATCTGAATGAATCATTTATTACTAGTCTTAATACAGAGTAAATGAAACGCATTCAACTTGAAATGATTTTGCCATTTTGAGCACAGGTGCTACTAGAAGGGCTCTGAGGGCGTAGCCACACAGTTTTATCCATAGCCCCGCCACCAGTGTTTTGATCATATTTTAACTTCAAATATATATTACCAAGGTTCGCACTGCTGATACAATATTGTTGCCTCCCCCCCCCCCAAAAAAAAAAAAATTAAAAAAATCCTTAGTTGTGCCTATGATTTTGGATGCAATGTTGAGTAATAATTATGGTTGTTATTCTGTATTTTATGCGGATGTCAAATTTGTAACATACACAATATACCTACCAAAATCGACCATGAAAATAAAAAATAAATTACATGTCTAAATATAATTCATAAGGTAATATTATGCAATGGAATACTTAAATACATAAGACATTCCTAAGTCGTAATATTATACATTTATATACAGTAGAACCTCGATAAGTCAAAAACCTCGATTACTCGAAAAAAAAACTATAGATAACTCGAACCTTCTGTGCTCCGAATATAGACGGATAATGACGGATAATTTTATAAACATTTGTCTAATCGGCTTATCCATTCCGATACCTGAATATTTAGATAATTGATAAATTAATAATAGCAAATCTCGAATTTTAAGTCAATGTAGAATAACAAATTTTCTATTATAAAGTTTCAACACAAAATTATATTTTATTCCTGATATTTTTTTTTAAATTTAAATAACCTATATAATCACGTTTTTTTTACATTGTATATAATAATTAAAAACTTTAGTACCTACCTACATACATTTTAAAAACTCTTTAAGTCAAATTTTTTTTTCTAAAACCTTGGTAACTCGAAAATCTTAGTAAGTCGAAAACCTCGATAAGTCGAAAAAATTGCATTTCCATTGAATTTCGACTAATCGAGGTTCCACTGTAGGTATCTTAAATATTTAAACGAGTACTCTTCCTACGGATATGTCACATAATTCTGAGCCTTTTTATGTGACTAGTAGATGGTGGATATTTCGATAATATTTAACACGAATGATAGTTATTAAAATATTCCATGATCATAATAATTGCTCATAATATAAATCCTGGTATTAAACATCGTACTATTTACAATATACGTCATACTTCACAGTTTGAAGCCCGGGTATAATGAGTGACAGAGTGGTACCTAGTGGTCGTCTATGTAACATGTATCCATTACAAAAAAATAATTTCAAACACAATCACACTAGTACACAATTACTTACTTAGAAGTAATGAAATCGATTTAATTTGTAATTGTCGATTTTATAAGGCATGGAATTTTCATTTTCCATTCTATCTGTAAAAAATGTATTTCTTTATTGTGATGCCTATCGATTTCCATGCAAATATAGTTTGGTGGGTGAAAAAGTAGTATTATTACATATTGGGTCTCATATACCTACGTAATAGTTTTAATCGATACCGTAAATGGTATAGTGAACTTTTTTGTAGGGAGCTGTTAGCCCTAGGTTCCACCCTCAAATACGCCACCGATATTATAATAGTATCTATGTACTCTCAGTAGATCGTTTGTGCAGTGCTTTTATTGGCAAGCATATATTATAACTAGTGTTCTGACTTTAAAATATTTAATTCTCTTGAAATATTTCAATGATATTAAGAAAAATAGTATTTAAAAAGTATTAGGTTATAAATGATTAGAAATAATATATAGACTACGTAGAAAACATTGATAATGAATAACTTATCAATTATCCACCAAGGTTTATGAATTAATTGAATTTTACTAAAATATGTCAATGGTTATAAATTAAGTTTATAATTGTATAATATATGGTAAAGTGTTGGTATAAATTTTATTATAAATTATAAATCATATCAGAAAAACAAGAATCATATATCGTCATATATTTTAATGTTGAGTTGGCTATAAGTTTTTAATTTAAGAGTTAAAAGACTATGTTTAAATTTGTTATACTCCTACATTATATGTAAATATATTATTTTTTTTTTTTTTGTTTCATGCAATGAACAAACTTTTAAAGCCTTAGTTGATGATTATAAACTTTGAGGTACAATAAAAATATTTTTTATTTTTTATAGAAATATCTCATGAAATTTCGAAACCATTAATTTAAATCTCAAGAAAAAAAATCTTGAAACACAAACGGGTATTTTTATTAATAAGTCTAATGGATTCATTAATGAACCAAAACCTTTGTGTATTTTATTAGTATATGGCATGGTTTAATAGATTTATAAAAAAATAACAAATATTTATTTAATTTTTGGAAATAAAAAGTGAATAGACAATAGTATTTATTATTATTATACGGTAAATATATAGCATAAACTTACCCTAATAATTTAATTCAATAATATATATTGTCGGATTACTGATGATAAGATTGTTATAATAATATATAACATGTACCCAATGAAAATGTCACAATTATCCAGTTCCGTGGCCCTAATAAGCGGTGAACATTTACACTATAACTACAATAATAATTTTATTTTGGTAATTGAAGAATTTTCCCTATTAAGTGGAGTCTATAGTATAACACATCTATACTCTTGTCTGTACAGAGATCATAACAGTGTAACTACTTATCGTTTTGAAATAAAAATATAAAATTATAGGCACCTAGATAATATATCAATAAATATGTACATAAATTGAGGCATAAACCATAAAAAAAAGGATAAAGTCAGATAATTATTATACTCTGTTGTGTTTGGGCATTATTCCAAGTATTCTAAATAAGTTTGACTCATCGTTTCAATATAAAAGGAACGGCATACCAATAAACTATTATAATATTATAGTATTGTTATTGTTATTATCCACATTATTTGGAACACTGAGGCCCAACGCCAATTCGATTTCCTCTATCTCCCTCGCAACCATTTTCTTTATATTATATGATTTAAAGTTAA